AGGATGCCGCCACCACCATCGGGCGCCCGGCAGATTCATCCAAACAAGGCAGGCCAATACATCCAAACAGCAGGTACGTACAAATATGCAAGAACTTGTTACTATCAGCTGCAGATAATCAGCTTCTTCTCATACACTATAATTATACAATAGAACCAACCAGATCTGTTACTAGAAGCAATTCAGTTCTGATATCAGATAGTACTGTTGTTCCTAATGCATAAGCAGATCTGATCCTAACCGATAAGCAATTCACTACTTTTGAATAAGCAATTCAGTTGTTTTACATAAGCAATCCAGTTCTCTTGCATCACAAATAGTAATGCAGTTACTACTGCATTAGCATATCTGATCCTAACTTGGACATGTAAATGACTAATGTTCTTACTGCACATCTTACTACCGGATGGTGTTCTTACTAGTTAACATGAATATATGTTGTATGCACCACTCCTATAGATGTACATCTTGATGCATTAAACCTTCTTGTGTTAGCTGCTACACATGGTTACTCCTATGCATTAAACTTTCTTGTGTTAGCTGTTGCGCATGGTTACTCCTATGCATTAAACTTTCTTGTGTTAGCTGTTGCACATGGTTGTTGCACATGTTCATTTTGATGCTTGATGGCCTCACGCCTGCAATTAAATAGAAGTACCTGATAAGTACATAGATGGTAGTGAGAACCGAGGAAAAAATGTTCAAATCAACTGAGTTAAGGACAAGCAAGCCTCAAATTTCAACTTTATGCAAAAAGAGGGAAACACAAGAACAGTAGATTTATTAAGTTGAAAACTGACTATGAAATAAAATGCATTTTGTACTATGGACAGTCTTAAGTTTCTAAACTCTCATGTGTCCATTTTACAGGTTGTAACATTTAGGTACAGTGTTAGTCAGTCTTCAGTCCCACTGTAACTGTGGAAAACTGATAGCCACAGCTATCATGAAATTTCATGTAACTGATAGCATGTACTGAACAAAACTGATAGCATGTACTGAACAAAACTGCATAAGTTGCTGGCCTTTTTTGCCTAATTTTGTACGGTATTATTGCCTAATGGGTTTGACTAAGTTGCCTAATTTCATGTAACTTACTGTTTTGCATGCAGTTCTCAAATATGGATCTTAACATGCTGCCACCATATTTAGATGAAGATTTCTTGGATGCATTTGGTTTGGATTATGTGACCGGCAACCCTACCTTCTGCACTCAAGTGTCTGCAATTCCTGAAATTCCTCAGCCTAATGATGAGCATGTGAACCAGTAGATTTTGCCTAGTTTTTCTGAAGTTGGTCATGTTGGTTTAGCAGAGGCGACTCCTGCAGTTTCAGAAGAGGTTCTTCCTACCGTTTTCTGAAATCAGATTGTCATTTGAACAGGCAAGGATTGAGGACAGGAATGAAGATTCTACTACTAATCCTGTAGTTGCTGATAATGAATTGAATGGTGCTAGAAATGAAGTAGCAGAAGAGGAGGAAAAGGTGTGGTCTACTTCTCAAATGCCACACAATGGGTTGTCTTTTGCATCCTTGGACGAAGCAAAAGAGTACTACAACTCTTATGCAAAGAGAACTGGCTTCCCGATTAGAACAAACACGTCACGCCGGTCCGCAATCACAAGAGAAATGCAGAAGGTCCAGTTCGTGTGCAATAAGGAAGGCTTTGGCAAGAAAAGGAGAGTTGCTGCTCAGCTTGTTGAAGCTATCACTTGCTACTCTGACAATGATGAAGCCGAAGAGGAGGATAGCGCATAAGAGCAAGGGGATGATCAAGGGGAGAAGAGGAAGAAGCTTGACGGATGTAAGAAAAGGAAGAGGGAGAAAATGCTATATACAAACTGCAAGGTGAGGATGGTGGTCAAAATGATTGGCTCTAGGTGGCAAGTCATCTATTTTTTGGCCGAGCACAACCATGATCTTGTGGTAAAGCCCTCGTTCAAGAAGTTCCTAAGGTCCCACAGAGGGATACCGAAGCCGGAAAAGGATTTCATTGTTTTGCTATACGGATGCAACTTGAGCACGGGTAGAATCAAGCAGTTGATGAGCGAGTTCTATGGCTCTGCACAGCTGGTGCCATACGAGGGCAAACAAGTTTTGAACTTTCGCTCCACCATCCACAAGACGGAAAAATTCAAAGATATGCGGGAAATTTTGGATTACTTCAGAGCTTTGAAAGAAGAAGACCCTGATTTCTTCTACAAGATCAAGCTCGATGACAACCATAGGGTTGAGAACCTGTTTTGGGTTTATTCAGTTGCAAGACGAGCTTACAAAGAGGCATATAGCGACTATGTCTCATTTGATGCAACCTATATGACCAACATATATGAGATGCCTTGTACACCATTCATAGGAATCAACAGACACTACCAAACTTTTCAGCTAGGATGTGCCTTTATAAGGAATGAGAAGGCAGCTACCTATGAATGGTTGTTTGTAACATTTCTGGAGGCAATGGACGGAAAGGCACCCCTCAACATAATCACCGATCAGGACGTTGCGATGAGAGCCGCCATTTGCACCATTTTTCCAAACACGACCCATAGGAATTGTAGGTGGCATATCATGGACAAGTTTTTGGGCACAATTGGACCGATCCTTGCTAAAAATGAAGAACTAAATGAGGAGTTTGTGGATTGCTTGAACCACACCGTAAGTCCTAAAGATTTTGAGTCAAAGTGGGCCGCTATGGTCCAGAAACATGATTTGGAGGGCAATGAGCATTTTTTGCACCTATACCACATAAGGTAGAGCTTCATTCCAGCCTACTACATGCACAGCTTCTTCCCATTCCTCTAGTCGACTCAAAGGAGCGAGGGGTTCAATGCTTTGCTCAGGAAGTATGTGAACCCAAACTTGTCCATGCTACAGTTTGTGAGACAGTACCAGAAAATACAAGAGAAGTGTCTGGTAGCACAGGATGGGCAAGACTTCAGGACTGGTGAGAATGAGCGAAGACGATGGTCAAGGCATCCACTTGAGAAGCATGCTTCCACTGTATGCACAAAGAATATGTTCTACAGGTTCTCCAAAGAGTTTGAGAAAACTGTAGAATATGATGTGAAGCCTGTAGGGCAGTTCCAATATTCGGTGGAGCCCAATAACAACTTTGTTTATGGGTATGGAAAAAGGAACTACCTTGTTACAGCAATAGAAGAGGAGGAAAGCTATTGCTGTGAATGCAACAAGTTTGACAGGGATGGAATCATTTGCTGCCACATTATGAGGGTTATGGTCAGGATGGGGGTGAAATTGATACCAGAAAGTTACATCCTTAAAAGGTGGACGCAGCAAGCAATTACTAGTGATACAAATCAGGTCCAAAATGTGTAGGCATCGGTGGAATTTGTAGCCCATGGGATGTCATTGACTGGCTAGAAAACTCCAAGATTCACCAATGCATCCACCGCATTTGCAGCACTAGCAGTTGAGGGCTGTACAAGTGATGAAAACTATGTTGTTTTGGAGAAGCACGTTAAGCAGACGCGATCTGAATTTGAAGAAATCAAGAAAAGGAAGATGACGAATAGGCAGAACACTAGTGCTATAGAAGGTGGTGCTATAGAAGGTGCACAAGACCCTGGTGCTACACTGGTGCTATAGAACAATGGTCCAGGTACCTCTACTCCAACTAGACCTTCATTGCGAACTGCAAGTTTAAAAACTAGACCCTGTGTCCTGCTTTACTTCATCCTAGTACACCTATACTTGATTACTTAGTTGCTGATATTACATTTCACCCTGTAGGTGTAGTGGCTGGTCCAAGCTCATCAAATGTAGGGAACCCACCAAAGTCAAAAGCCAAAGGGCGCAGGAAGGAGAAGGCACGCAAAAAGGGGATGAATGGTCAAGTGAAGAGGAAGAATAGGTGCAGCATTTGTAGATCATATGATCACAATGCAAAGAGATGTCTAGACAAGCCCGGAAGAGAAGTTCACAATCAAGAAATAGTTTAAATTAAGAAATAGTGTTACTGAAATGTACTTGAATGTGTTTGTGTGAAAATTTGTGTTGGCAGACCCGTTGTACATCTTATATGCTAAGACTCAAATGTTAATGTGCATTGCCTTTCCAATTTACTAAGTTCAGAGTTTAGCCCATTGCTTGATTGTTTTAAAAAAATTACAAAATTTTGATTCATCCTATACTTGATCCTTTTTCTGTATAGTTTCTTCCGCGCCTACTTTTGACTTGTGTAGTAGTATGTTGATTCATCCTTTTTCCTAGAGTTCAGCTTAGCTTTTCATAAATCCTGTGATGGCCTTGCCTTTTCATGAATCCCATGTTCTTAGCATCTCCATTTTAGCATCTTCGCATTTTCTTAGGCAATTTAAGTGTCATTCGTTAGGCAATAATGTCTTCCTAAATAGGCAATTGAGCCTATTCTTACTAGTAAAAAAGGCCATCTCTTTTGTTGCTTATATGATTGCTTAACTCTACTTATCCCCCCCCCCATTCGTGGGCTTGCACATCATAAGCTTGTATGAATCTTGTGGAGGCCCATTCCACTTGTTCACTTTCACTCCTTTTTTTGGGTTTTGTCCAAAATTTGTGTGCGTGGTTTCATTCCATTACTTACACCTGTTTTTTCCTCTTATTTTGTCCTTTGCAGAAAAAAAAGTACGCTCAACACTGCTGTTAGCCAGTTCTGCTCTGGTTTCACAAAGGTTGTAGGCACATTTTTGCTGTTGGGCACACATAATTGCTACCAGAATACTAATAACTTGCCTGGCTAATGATATTAAATTTCTCAACGGACTACTAATAAATTGCCTGACTAATAACTTGCCTCACACACATAATAAGTAGTGCCTGATCTCAGTTTGGTACTGACCAGCTGTAGCTAGTAGTGGCTATAGTAGTAGCAGGTGTACTAGATGTAGTTAGGTATAGTTGTCTAGAGTTGTAATATTAGGCTTTACAGTTTTTTTGGAAACATTGTAGCATAGGCATTAATTACAGGAAACCATTACAAAACTGTTTACAAGCTTTACCTCTTATAAATGCAGCCTGTCTTTCCAATTCTGCACGACATTATCTTTGTGAGTTCGCCACTTATGCAGTAGAAGCTTGCGTATATTAGGGATGTCACTCTCCTTGAAATATTGCATTGAACGTCCATCCCAATGTTCAGCATGCATCAACATATGAAAACCACAATCATGACTGTAGAGACAAAACAAACAATATAGAACTCAGTGCAGATAACAAATCTGACTGTATGCAGAAAGGTAACATTAGTTAGACCAGAAAAACTACTTACTTGTTGGACTGGATTGGAACACCAATATCAACAAGTTCATAATTGCATATGGGCTTCTTTGCCTCATAACCATGTTTTGTCCAAAGTTCTTTGATTGCCCCTATCAAGGTATTACAGCACTTGAAGAGAGCTTCATCTTCCAGAGTTCTCATTGAGTGTAACACCTCAAACCTTTGGTTTCGTAGGTTCAGGACAAGCAAAAAGTAGTGTCCTACATGTGTTGTAGATTTTCCATCTCCAAGTGATTGAAGCACAGGAAACATCACCTATGTTGGGTTGGTTATTATCAATGAATGTCACTGAGGAAGAAAAAATCATGTATGACGAAACCTAAATACATGTGAAGATATGAACTTACCATTTGACGATGATCTAAATGGTTATCTGCAAGCCAGAATACACGTGAGACCTATGTCGTAGTTAGGTTGCCCTCCTGCATGAAAGTCTGCGAAAAAACAGCAGCAAAACTGCATTAACAAATTAAGAAATTTGCTAACAAAAACTTGAAAATTACTTGATATTAAAAGAAGAATTACTTCTGTACATATTTATAGTACAAGAATAATAGAAGAAACTACAACTGACTGAGGCCAGAAGCTGGCCATATATATGAACTAATCATGCATGACCTTCTAACACATCAGAAGAACATACTTGATTTTTTTTATTCAGGATGCAGAATAATCCAATCAAATGCTATCAGGAGCTTTGCCTGAATTCCCAAGTGCCTGAGTCCAGAGCTACAGATTACACAAACACTGACCAGGATGAAGGATAACAAAGCAAGGGAATCAAATGTCACCCTGCTAATTAATTTTTCCCCATGGACAACAAACTGAGAATGCATCATGTGAACATACAACTGCTAGGAGAGAACTACATGCTACAGTAATGTCATAGTGCCAAACATTGATACATGATCAGCCCATGGAAAGAGAGGCAAAATGGACATGTGTCAACTGCCCGCACTAGTGGGTTCCTGCCAATGCTGCTCGTGATGATAAAACAGTGGCACTAAACTTGTACACCAGTCAAGAAACAAAAATGGTAACTGTTCAGATAGCCCATGGCCTGATTATAGAGCTACCTAATGGTAATATTTGATCAAACGAGCCTTGTGTTATAGGGCAATAGATGTAGTTCTGTAGTCAAAGATTAATTAGAGAGCAATATCATGAGAAGTGAGGAGGTTACATTCATCTATTACGTTTGTTTTCACTTTGCAATGGCTATTTGCATTCAACAAGCAGAGCAGTACTGTAGTCCGAGGTTACATGTAGTAGTAGTAGTTCTGTGGTCTTAGCTTGGTGTGGATCTGCCCCTACTGAATAGTGGGAGGCCTGCAACAAGTGTAGGGGCATGGGCCTCTAAATTTTGCCCTAGCTATAGTAGTGGGAGCTACCCAAGTGCAGGGACATGGGCCTCTAAATATGTCATCGATGAAAGTGCGAAAAAAAGAAGCAAAATTGCCTTAACAAATTAAGAAAATTGCTAATAAGGACATGAAAATTTACTTGATACTAAAAGAAGAATTGCTTCGGTACAGATTTATAGTAGAAGAATAATGGACGAAAAATATGAACTAACCGAGACTCGTAAAGGTAGAACACGTTTGACAGTCTTTCTACTGGTGTCATCAATTGTGTAGATTGCAATTTCAGCAACTGAGCTCATTAGCTTCCCACCAGGCTTAACAGATAGAGCAAGATGATCTAGAGTCACATAAAAGCTCTAGAAACTGATTATGACCACGCTGTACACATAAAAGAAGCAAGAAAGTGAGCATAAATCATTGATAACATGATGATTAGCATTTTTAAAATAATGAAGGAAGACATGGTTATGGGCATACGCACTCTTGAGCTTTTTTAGATATAGTAGACCTTGCATTTCCATGTGCACACACAGCAGCATATAAATCACAAACATCCTTGCTGCAATGGAAGTCCTCTTTGTAGCAAAGTCAATATAAGGCGAGCGGAGAGCAGCTGGCCTTTTCTGAATCCTTCTTGGGTGAGGCTCATAGACAGGTGTAACTGAAGAATTGCCACTAGCAGGCTCCTTAGATGTGGATGGAGGAGGTACAGGATCAGATGCCTGAAACACAACTGCTGGTTTCACCTTTTTCTTCTCAAACCCAATAAGAGCATCATTTTCTAGCTTAGCAAGTTCCTCTTCTGGTATATTTGACAGTGCGAATTGAGAACCAGCTAGTGTGGAAGTTGTTTGAACTTCAATAGATGCTGTTGAAGTAGCACCTGCAGAGTTGTTGGGTCCACCTTGTGAATCTACAAATTTCATGATGTTGATATCTGGGGGTGTAAAATCCAAAGGATAGCTTCTGGTACAATGTGAGTCACCTATGTTGGGTTCGTTATTAGTCTAAGCAATAAAGGAAATAACATGTATGATGATGAAACATATCCCATTGTCAAGATGTGAAGTTACCACTTGGGGGGAGCCTAAGCTTTTCCTTCATTCTTTGTGCATTGGATTGGGGCTTGATGGTAGGTTCTAGAGGAATAATCTCCAGTGGTTGAGGTTCACTAGAAGTTGTTGTATCCTTCTTTTTATCTTTAACTTTCAAAGCTTGCAACCTTTCCAAACGGACCTTCAATGGGACAAGATCTTCACTGTCATCAACTTGAGCTTCAACACGGGTGGATGAATCTATAGGTGGCTGCACATTACATTGCTTGTCAACTCTAGTTGCATCCAACTTAGGTTCTTCCAAAGAAGCAGTATCATCCTCATCTTGCTTTTCAATGCCTTCGTCTTCCTCCTCTAGTACAGGGGACAGATTTCCATTGCCATCATCATCAAACGCGGTCTCATGATCTGAATCAGAATCTTCATCCTCTTCATCTTGGTCAGTGTCACCATCTCCATTTTCATCACTCGGCAAATCCTCTTCAGATTCTTGACACAAAGATTCATCTTCAGCAACATGTCCTCTTCTACTCATTGCCCTAGTCTGCCTTTGTGCACAGGAAGGTACAGCTTGTTCCAATTTGGAACGCTTTGGTCTGCTGTGTCTTTGTGTATAGGAAGGTTCACCTTCAGAATGATTTGCCCTTGGATGCTTGAAACTACCCACACGCTGTGATGTAGGAGCTTCAACTTCAGAAACTTTTTCAAACATGTGTCGAGAAGCTCTGTGAAACCAGAGCAGAACTAGCTAACAACAGTGTTGAGAGTACTTTTTTCTACAAAGGACAAAAGAAGAGAAAAAAACAGGTGTGTAAGTAATGGAATGAAACCACGCACACAAATTTTGGACAAAACCCAAAAAAAGGGGTGAAAGTGAACAAGTGGAATGGGCCTCCACAAGATTCATACAAGCTTGTGTTGTGCAGGCCCACAAATGGGGGGGACAAGTAGAGTTAAGCAACCATATAAGCAACAAAAGGGATGGCCTTTTTTACTAGTAAGAATATGCTAAATTGCCTATTTAGGAAGACATTGTTGCCTAACGAATGACACTTAAATTGCCTAAGAAAATGCGAAGATGCTAAAATGGGGATGCTAAGAACATGGAATTCATGAAAAGGCAAGGCCATCACGGGATTCATGAAAAGCTAAGCTGAACTCTAGGAAAAAGAATGAATCAGCATACTACTACACAAGTCAAAAGTAGACACGGAAGAAACTACACATAAAAAAGGATGAAGTATAGGATGAATCAAAATTTTGTAATATATTTATTATTTTTTTTAAAAACAATCAAGCAATGGGCTAAACTCTGAACTTAGTAAATAGGAAAGGCAATGCACATTAACATTTGAGTCTTAGCATATAAGATGTACAACGGGTCTGCCAACACAAATTTTCACACAAACACATTCAAGTACATTTAACAAAAATTAGTAGTAGTGAGAACATCATTAGAGAAGAGACCATGTACAAACCTGATCTGAATTGCCACCGGGAACCTTCGAGTAGACAAATCTTCTTATATCATCCATGTGGAACAATGAAGGCTGTGGAGTAGAATAGCTTGATCCTTTCAACTGGACACATAAACATGTACAGACAAAGTCAGAATAGCTTGATCCTTTCAACTGGACACATAAACATGTACATGCAAAGTTATAATATGGACATGGGGATACTTTAGCGACAAAAGGGAAGCCACATTGACCTATTGATACATACCTTGAGCTTCCCAAATGAGCCATCATGGTTGGTGTCTAACTTGATGACCTGATCCAACAATTTCCTTGACCATGCTGCAACTCTAGGCATGGTGGAAGGGATTTGTACATTGTCAACCAGAAGCGAGTCTACATATAGAATCTGCAAAGATGAAAAATCGATGAGGGCATCAAAACATAAGAAGAAAGAATGAAGAAGTAGAAACATATATGACCGAGATCGGTAGTGCTTGCTGCAGTGGCGCTGTGGCTGCCGCTGCTGTAGCAGCACTCACCAAACACTACAACATAGAACAAGATGCGAAGCAACTTACCACAAGGACAAGAAGACAGCCCTTAAAAGATCTTCTTTTGCCCATTTTGGCTGCTGCGTCTTTAAGTTGGTGAACAACAGACTGCACCAATTCAACTTCTTGACACAAGAAAGATCCACAATGGCTGGATAGCACCTTGGGCTAATAGTTAAGCCAGTTGGAGGACACATGAATGTTTAAATTGCTATCATCGGCCAGGACCTTAGGAAATCATCATTGCTTGCCTTATTCTCCTTCAACCTTTCCAATATAGAGTTAATAGTAGGTGTTGTCCCTTCATCAATACCATACTCACCATTGATAAAGTTGACCGCACCAACATCAAGCTCATACTTAACTTCATCACCATTGTTTGGAAGACCAAAAGCACGACAGACTGAATCAGCATTGACTGAAATCCTTCCCCTACCAGGAACACCAGCTCCGATGAATTAGCATCATAGCACTCAGCCATCAACCAGTCTGCAAAACCTGCAGGAAGGGTTTTAGAAGCAATCTTCAGGAGACCACCAAAGCCTATCTCCCATATTCTTTTTGTCCGAGATTAAGTCAAATCATTGTAGAGCTTCACGAGCCTCAATGGGGAAGCCCGCTATCTTCGAGGCTGAGAATAGGAGATGGATTGCAAAAGGTTAGAAAATAGCGGCAACTAAAAATTGAGTGCACAAAACAGGTGAATACAAAAAACAAAGCTAACAGATTGGGTGCACATACCTTAGGAACCGTTGAAGACGATGAAGCAGCAGGTTGGTTTTGTTGTCCTCTACCCATTGGCTAACACAAGCAGCACCTAAGAGACCATGTTGGATGAAGGGTTCAGCTCATTTGGCATAAATATAGGTAAAATAAAAAAAGATAGACATGAAGTGAAGTTTAATGCATGTTAGGATTCACTAATTACAAAAAAAGTTCAATGCATTCACTGTAGCAGTTCAATGATTTCTGAAAAGCAGTTCAATACATGAAGAGCAGTTCAATACATGAAGTTTAATACTTTCACTGTAATATAAGACACACATTAGCACCCTCGCGTCACTCCGTTCCAAACCTCCCGGCTCCTGTAGAAATGCTGCAATATGGAGCAGCAAGATTCTAATTTACATCTGGGATGAGAGCACAAGTGAAAGCTGGAGCAGAAAAAATTCGACCAAGCAGAAGCTAAAAATACAAATTCAAGGCATTCAGTTCCAATTAAACAAGAAGGATCTCAAAACCTAAATAGAATAGACATAATGACACACATTGAGCAAAAATAGTCAACATTAAGGCTTAATTAACAATATCATAGCGCATAATATTTTTGGAACTATGTGAGATAGCAAATGGGCATTTTCAAGATCATGAAATGCATAGATTAAAACAATAAGAAAAATGGAAAATACAACTTGAGTTATGAACAAGAGAGCCACACAGTCCATGTATATTATGACAAGTAAGTAAGTTGCTAAAGAACAATATCTGAATTCTCAGCCTTATGGTGTGCATGTGGATAAGAAATGCCTCTAGACTGAATGCTGAATGTTGAATGCCTCAGGCCACTTGTGATCAGAGCAAGCAAAGCATTGGTTTGGGCAAAAGGAGATGAACTTCTAGTATCATGCACATGCAGCCTTTCAGGTTTATCAATAATTACATGGACTAGATTTATCATATAATGCACCCTAAAAGAGTCAAAAGAGCAACAACATGATTTTGTGAAATCATCAAGATGTGGAGTAATGGTCAGGGAAGGGCAACATTAGCAAGCACCAGGTGCTAGCACTGTGACCACTGTAGACAAAAAAAACAAGTTCCATCTTTATGAGTAGTACATATTTGAAGCTTAGTCTGTGCCAAAGCCAATAAGGATGTGCGCTGCACCTGCATGTCCACCAAACCTAGCCACAGCTATCTCGCAGAGACGTGGACACTACACCTAGAATTTAGTGTATGCGACAAAAACGATATTATCAGTAGATATTCAGGTTTCAGGTCTGAGGTTACATATTTCAGGGTACATGTTTCATCACCAGGTGTAATGGCTGATGCTTATGAAAATTTTCTCCTTCAGGAGAGTCTATTCTCCTGACTAAAATTAAACACTGGTGAGCATGTAAAGTCAACATCTTTCAAGCAGAAATTATAGTCTGTACTTTCATTTAGAGTGCCAAGGCTCCAAAAAAATCATGAATACCCTACTAATGAATAACCAGAATGCTTGAACGGAGCAGTCCGATCTATCTATCTATCTCTCTGTGAAGGTAAGGAAGCAGGCAACAACAGTGAGAGTGCTTACAACAGGAGACGCTAAGGGAGGCAAAAGTCAGAGGAGGAGGCGTCGTCGGGGAGGGGGTGGGGGGCAAGCAAGCAGCGAGGCGCAGTCGACGCTGGGGCAGGCTTCTCGGAGACGGTGAGACGACCGTGACGGTGAGCAGCACGTCACGATAGGGGGCTGCACGACGACGGTGAAACGACCGTGACACGGCCGTCGCCGAGAAGCTTGCACGTGAAACAAAATCAACCAAATCCGTCAGTATATGCCTCACCGAATCGGTCCTCTCGCCATGCAAACCGAGAATGGCGCCGCCTAGGCTACCTTCAGTGCATGGCGTACCCAGCAAACCATGGAATCGAAAGAGATTGGAGTTAGATGGGGAACACATCCAAATCGAATCCGTGAGGTGGAAGCGTCGGGACGGGATCCAACTTACCGGTGAGCGCGGTGACCTGTGCTCCGCCAAGATCCGGGTCCAGCGAAAAACTGCAGTCACCGGTGGAGTCATCGTGTCGCCGCGTGGGATTCTTCTCGACGGAAACGGAGCCGAAGCGAGCGCAGATGAAGCGAGCTCTATCTGAGGCGTCGCTGTCGGGAGGAGAGAGGAAGCGCAAGTCCCAATATTTGAACAGTTACTCCTCCCCTCTCTATGACTAGTGGGCCAGGCACCACGGTTGGGTTGGAAAGGCTAGATGCACGCCGAGCCTTGGATGATCCATCGACGGCAAGAGGGGCGTGCATGCGCACCAGCAAACGCACGCACGGCAGAAACAAAGTCATTACCAATGCTATAACCTATTGAAGTGTGGAGGGTTCTAAATTTTTGCTATTTCAGTTATGTTTTTTTTAAAGAGAAGCTTCACAGAAAAGGATCAACATCCCACCATCCACTAATTTAATTGGCTGAGGAACTATATATAATACTAAAACTTTTTGCAAATCTCTGACTGGAGCAATTACTTTTGGCCAGAAACTATACGAAGTTATTTCAATCAAAATATAAAAACAGAAGGGAAAAAATCCACAAGTTGAGGTCCCAATGATGGGCGGTAGGCCGCCCAATGATGAGACCGAGAGAGCAGGAAGACGCGGGCGAATCCAAGCGGCACAGTGAAAGTGCGGCGAACCTCTCCTAATCAAATCTCCTCTCCAGCCCAGACGAGAGGAGGGCAACAAAAGCGCGACGCGCGCATCCACATCGCCGATCCGGCTCCGGCATATGGGATGGGCGTCGCGGAAACAAACATCCCGTGACCTCGCTCGTCTCGGTCCGTCTCTCTCATGCAATGATGCCGTCCGGAGAAGTTGCCGCGGCGCCACCGCCTAGTCACCAGAGCTTGTGGATCTCGTTGCTTTGCATGCACACGGTGCCACGGCATATGGACACAGTAGCAGCGCCCGTGCTTCACCTCGAGATCTTTCCTTGTCAGTTGTCAGCAATTGTCCTGTTCGCTTGATTGATAAGCCATAACTGAAACTACTGTTGACTGATATGTTTTTGAGAGAAAAATACTATTCGTTAGCTGAAAAAGTACGACTTACAAGCCAAATAAACAGGACGAATACTACCATGATCAACTCTACTCTATAACGTACCAAAGGACCTGAAGACTTATATATATGGTAAATTTTGAGTTTGCTATATATAGTAGAAAAGATTTCTCCAAGAGTTCCCAAAAGTTTATTCCCAAAACCATTGAGTTTTTCAAGTCGTCAAAAAATATTAGAAGCACAAAACAAGAGTTTGTCCAACAGAATAAAAAAAAATCACTCGTAAAATAGATGCGGGCCGGCACCAGGAAGGCAGGAACTCCACCATGGACGTTTTCCGGCCAATTCGGCCCGTAGCCGCGCCATCCCGGACCCTTGCCCGGCGCCACCGCCCGGAGGCCCCACCTACGCCCGGCCTGCGACCCCCCATCGCGCCTCCCCCCTATTGAGGCAGCAGCGCCGCCGCCGCCCCTATCCTGGGCGAGCCGCTCGGGCCCTGACCTCGCCACCCGCTGCCGCGGGCATGGCCCGGCCATCCGAAAGCCCAGCCGAGGCCCTTCACCACCGCACGCGCGGCTTCAGCAGGAGGAGTCGGCTGCCGTGCCTGCAAGGCTGCAAGTTGCCGTCGTGTGAAGCTAGGCTTGTGTTGCTCCAATCATCGTGCGTGCCTAGGAGACGGACAGCAGCAGCACAACCTAGGAGGATACGCGCGATCGTCGTCCGTGCACGGATTTATCCATGCATGAGAGTCATTTTTTTTTTCGATAGCCAAAAGATTAGAGGTGGGATTATTTGGAGCGGTTGGAGATGCATTTTTTTAGTCTTGCCAAAAATAAAAAAATTAGGAGAGTTTTTTGGAAACTCTTGGAGATGCTCTAAAGTGACGTGTAGCGTCGCCGCTGCCTGTCCCCGATGCAACTTTGGCCGCACGTTAATATGTACAGGTGACATAGTCATCTCGTCTTTTTATGGAGCCTCCAAGGCTCCAACTAAGCTACACGCGGGGGCACCTCTAACAATGATTTATGAGCTAGCTCGTAGCATTTTATTTTATATTTTAATAGAAGAGAGATAAAGTTAGCTCTTAATCAAGAGCTAATCTTATACATACATAGTTCAAGATTATGTGATGTTGACATATGGGAGCCATTGCTAAAAATTGACACTATTGGACATGTTGTCTTAGAGCTAGTAACTAGCTCTTAGTGTTGCGGGTGCCCTTATACCTTGTTTTGTCCATATGTAATTTTGATTTACTTTCGGTTTGTGTACTTGCGTGCTAAGTACATGTGTTAGATGGTTAACAAGCAAATAAGAAGTAATACTGCCTCTAGTCCAGATGGGTTTTCGGTTGAGTTCTTCAAGGCCTTTTAGAGTGAGTTGAGAGGAATTATTGTGAAGGAAATCAAATGCTAGATGAATTGCATAGAGGAAAGGTGGAGCTAAGAAGACTAAACTATCAGTCTGTTCGCTTGTTGGTTTCAGCCAGGGCTTATCAGTCAGTCAACAGTGTTTTTCTCTCACAACAAACCAGTGTCAGCCGGGCTTATCAGCCCAGAAACCAACCAGTGAACGGGCTATATGTCATTATAATCCTGCTACATAAAAAGTAGCTTCCAACATCAAACAGTACAGACCTAATGAAGTGCCTCCCACCAATTGATCAGATGAGCAGCAACACATATCTAGTACTGTATTGCTGTTATATTACTCGTGGACAGGGAAAATGGAGCAGGGAACTTCACTATCTCGCTCACGAGCATGCATACCACGCTGGCGTGGACACGGCGAGAGAAACACGTCCCGGAACCAGCCAGCCAGCCGCCGGTTTGATCCCAGCCGCAGATCTGGAGTGATCTAGGGTTTTCAGGCGTCCTCCCGGCCCTCCCCTCCATCTTCCAGCTCCCTCCATCCATGGATGCATATCATGTCACGAGCTAACGACGCATCTGCTCCACTAATTAATCTACACTACACTTTTTCTCTGCAAGCCACAGGGGCACGCTTGGGCCTGTATATATAAAGTACCTCCTGCCTGTACATTACCACACTCCACATTCGAGCAAAGATCGAGCTAATTAGTTGCTACCAAAAAAACATTTTAGAATTATTGTCACCATCTCTCACTCCTCAATTAGCTCACAAATCCACAATTATATATTCTCAAGTATTAATACGTATCAAGATAGAGTACAAGAGATTGTTCACCAACTCTTTGGTTTGATTCTTCATGGCGCCAAATGGAGACGCAGCAGTCGTCGCGGCCGCACAGGCAGCGGCGCCGGCGTCGGCGGCACCGAAGAAGCAAGCGGCGCGGCGGCAGTCGTCGAAGCCGAGGAGGATCTCGATGGAGGGGCTGCAGCGCGCCATGTCCGACCTGGCCCTGGAGCTGTCCAGGGACAGCAAGAAGGCCGAGGCCGCCGACGCTGCCGCTGCCGCCAAGGCCCAGCCGCCGCAGCTGCCGGCGATCGCGGAGCAGCAGCAGGCGGAGGAGCTGGCGCGTTGCGAGTGCTGCGGCATGCAGGAGGAGTGCACGCCGCAGTACGTGCGCCGCGTCCGGGACCGCTACTGCGGGCGCTGGGTGTGCGGGCTGTGCGCGGCGGCCGTCAACGCCGAGGCCGAGAGGGTCGGCGGCGGCGGCACCCGCACGGTGGAGGACGCGCTGGCGGCGCACATGGCCGTGTGCGGGCGGTTCAACCGCGTGGGGCGCGCCAACCCCGTGCTCATGCAGACGGAGGCCATGCGGGAGATCCTCAGGAAGCGCTGCAGGTCCAACAGCCCCCGGGACCACGGCGGCCCCGCCGGCGCGCTCACCAGGAGCTCCAGCTGCATCCCCGCCATCGCCAAGGACTTCAATTGATTGATGACATGAGATTACGACAAGCTACTTGCGGATCGGAGTACTTCTTCTAGGCATGCATGCACGCATCATTTGGTTGGGGTGCTGCATCAAATGCTTCAGCTTCATTATTGAAGTAGCTAGCTCGGCATGGGTGGTCATGCATGTATCTTCTGTACGTATGTTGTTGTGTACTGTCAACATGGTAGTATATATATATAGTAGTAGTTAAGTCTCTAGTTATTTGTATTCATGGTTTTTTTTTAAAAAAAAGCTGTATTCATGGGGTTTTGTTAGCTATCTTAATTTCATCAATCTCTTCGTCAGGAGACCGTTTTTTTTTTGGTTTGCTGTGTGATACGTTTTGGTTGTATACAAGCTACCTACTCCGTATAAATTTTGCTAGAAAATTATGGATATCACAATTGTTCATGTTAGTTCAAATGCTATACATATTTACCGCCCAAAACCACGATGGTTTTTTAGCCTCTTAGCACCTGAATATATGTGCATAGTGCACGCAACCCTTTTTTGGATTATTAATCGATCATCATCGCGTGTTTAGCATCCGAATTGAATTGTTGTACATCGAAATGACAATAAAACGGGCAACCTGACGCGGCCAAAAGGTTTATATATAAAGATAAAACAGGGTTGATTTATTTTCTAAACTATGGTTTAGAAAAGTTTATAAACTAAAATTGTAGTATCACACTGCCACAATTCACAGTCCTGGCGTGGCTCCGGTACTCTGAGATGTTCCCACACGATGAATTATGGACTGAACTTAACACGGTCACAAAAAAAAAACTGGACTTAGTTCCACCGTTTTTTTTTCTTTTTCTTTTTTTGCAGGTCAGCTGAAGGTTCTGTTTTTTCTTTTCTTTCAACGTCGAAGTGGCCGTTTTGGGCTACAAGCCACTATGGGCCAAGTAATGCCTGAGTGCAGAGCCTGGTGAGCTAGACGTGTAGAACAACTACCTGGTTTTTGGTGGAACTCGGGCCGTTGGCCCAATAGCCCATTTTATAGAATTCTAATAATCTCAAAGCCCTTTTATATACTCCAGGGACGTGCCGCAACACTGCAGGGCAGAAGGGTGTACTCTCGTCACTGAAGGAGGAGCAGAAGAACCCCGAAACGAGGGAAGCTATCAAGCTAGAAGCGTCGTGGCGTTGGCATTGGCATTGGCGGTGGCGTGCGCGGCGAGCCGGCGAAGAATGGAGACGCCGTGGTTGTTGAGGCAATCTGAGCGATTAAGATTTATATGTTCCCATTATTAATTTGAAAAATCTATAAAAGTACCACCATGTCACGTTTCTTGCTGTGATAATCATAATCCTAATCCTGCAAGGAGACCTAGTACGCCGTGATAATCACATCACCTGATCGATCGAGGCTGCTTCTCATATATCCCACCGTCATCATCCGTCGACTTCGTCGCCAGGCTCGCAGCCACGCAAGCACGTCGTCTTTGCCGTTGTCTGCTCAGAGTCAGAGCACAGGCAGCGCCGGCCGCTGGCTACACCGTACCTGTCGACCTTGGGAGTTGGGAGGTGAGGTGATCGGATCCGGATCCTGAACAGCGGCGGCGGGCCAGAGCTAGGCAACCGCGCGCGGGTCCGTCTTCTGAATCTGATGGACCGGGCGGGATCAATGCAGGCACGACACCGACGTACGCGTAAGGACAGACGATGGCTCCATCCACACGTCGCGCGGGCGCGCCGGTGGTACACAACACACGCCAATTACTCGCGCGCGCGCCTCGCACATGCCTTGCCTATCGTTCGCTCATCACAGGACCGCCGCCCTCTCCATATGAGTGGCCGGCCTGTGCCTGTACGTGCCGTGCGGCCGCCGTCGCGTTCCGCCGTACCTGCAGCGGCGCGGCTGCCGTCCTAGTCCAAGCTATATATGCTTGGCTGCTCGAGTGATCTACCGTATAACCCGACGACGTGCACCGCGCAGGTGGTCCCCCGGGCGGCCCTGCTGCGATCGACTGCGGTTCCGGACGGGTCGATTTCGGGTCCTGCTTGCTGTGCCGTCCTGGGATGTACCGCCGATCGCCCGAATTAATTTCCCTCCGCCCACCCCGCCCCGTCGTGGTCGATCATGGCATCGATCGGCGGGGTCGTCGGAGCCGGACGCCCACGCATCGTCCGTCGTCCACGGCTCAGCGTAGTACAAGGCCGTGGTGTCGTCGTGACACGCGACGCGAGACGGGCGTGGAATCGCTTTCACCGTCGGTGATCACCGCACCGCACCGCACGCCGAGCCCGTCTCTGCCTGTTGTGTCTGTGTCTGGTGGGTTGGGCGTCAGACGCGCACGTCGCCTGCGCACCTGGGAACCGAACCGACGGCGGGCGGCTGAGAGCAGAGCAGATCGAGCGCATGCATGCAGATGTGCATGCATCGCAGGCGTCGCCGTCGCCGTCGCGTTCCGCTGTGCTGTGCATCCACCGGTGCGGCCTGCGGCGAGACGTTGTGTCCATCAATAACTACGGCAGACGCGCGCGCGCACACCGCCTGAAAACGACCTCTCACTTGGATTTTTCTTCCTCTGTCTAATTTCTCTCTCGTTTCCTCATGTCAC